CTTTACCGATATCAAATTAACAGTTAAACGTGGTATATGAAGCACATTCTTTAAAGTAATGTTTGAATTTATCTTGATGTCTCATTGACCAGCTACTGTTACCAAGGTACCATCTGCTGTAGAAATTTTCTTATTGCTCGGGCAAATACTGTAAGAGATAAAATGACAGCTACTAGTCGTCATATGGTCTGTTGCACCAGAATCAATAATCCAGGTACACAGTTTAGGCTGGGAAGTTGTACTCGTCAAAGTTACTGAACATGTACCTTGACTAGGAGCATTATCCAAAGTTTTTAAGAAGCTCCTTAATTGTTTGATCTCATTTATGTCCAAGTTTTTTTTTAATTTTGGATGACTGTGACATTGATACCAAGACTAAACTGCAACTCAAAAATGGAGATCCAAAACTGAAAAAACAGTACTGTACTGAACCGAAAGAGGGCTGAACTGAATCAAAAACAGTTGAATCGAACCAAATCTGACTGAAACGAACTGAAACCTGTCGAAACGATCCGACAATGAACTGAACTCGACTGAAAAACGCTGAACCAGTCCAACAACGATTTGAACCGAGCCTAAAGGAGCCAAACTGGCTGGACCGAACCAAGTGAACCGAACCAGTTGAACCAGACTATCTGAACCGAACTGGACGAGCCTGGTTGACTGGACCGGACGTAACAGCAAAGGATGACGGCGGCAACGGTTGCGGCGACGAATAACAGCGGTGATGGTGACCGTTGTCGGTGACGAAGAACGGCGAGACGAAACCCACGAACAGCACTCGAAAAACAGCAGTGCTGGCGAATCAGCAAACGACGACGGTGGTCGGCAGCGGTCGGCGGTGGCCGTGAGTTGAGCGACGGTAGTAATAAACAAAATCTTAATGGACAAAAAACTCTAATGGGCATCAAAACCCTAATGGACACAAAACCTTAATGGACATAAAAACTAAATTAAAATTTTTTTTTGAAGAAACCTAAAGCTCTGATACCATGTTAATAATAAGAAAAGAAAATAATTCTTCCTTAATTACTCCAAATGATTGATACAAGGCTATATAAATARCAGTCACACAGAAGAAACTAAAAAGAAATTCTTGCCTAAATAGGATAAGAAAATACTTACCTATTAGGGCAATAAAACCCTAACCTAAATAAAATAGGAAACTTTTAAAATAAAATAAACTATAATTTAACACTCCCCCTCAAGCTGGTGAATGAATATTAATAGTAAAGACTACTCACTCGAATCTCTACGATCAATCGTCCTCTGATTTCTTGTTTTCTTTCAACGCACTGCGTGAGAGATTTTAGACCAATAAGCCTCTTAATTTCAATCTACAAGGTGCTAGAAAGAGTCAGAAGGTCATGTCATCCACCATTCTTTATAAATCAAAGTGCCTTTATTGAAGGCAAATACTCGATCCCGTTCTTATTGCCAATGAATTAGAGGAATACAAATGGCTAAAGAATCGAGGTTGGATCTTCAAACTTGACCTCGAAAAGGCATT